ATTAAGTAGCTCCTAATTATTTATAGTCTCTTTTTTTAAGTTTCTATTTTATAAATTCTATGAATTTAATGGATTTTTTTATTTCCAAGAATAATAATTCAAATATATCATTCATGAAAAATAAATAGGAAAGCAATTAATTAAGCATAAAAAATTATTATTTTTAAATTATAAGATAAAATAAATATAAATAAATAAATAAATAAATAAATAAATAATTTAATTATATTTATGTATGTAAAATATAATATTAATAAAAAAATTATAATTTGAATTAAAAATGAAATACTAATAAGAAAGGATCTTAGATTATCTTCATATAAATTAATGTTATAGACATACATATTTACCTAGATTTAGAGGAATTAGATAGAAATAAGTAGAAGTAAGTAAGTTTGATAATATCTTATAGAAAAGCTTCTTAAAAGCTTTATAGATGTGAATTTGACTTTGTATTTGTCTAGATGTGATTAGCAAGTTGAAAACTTGACTAACAAATTGGCCATGTATTGCACATGTTAGCTACTTGTGGTAGAAGTTTGTCATATAGTGCACATGTAGGAAACTTGTCTTTCAAGTTATATATGTATTGAAAGTCTTATAGAATGTTATTAAATAGCTTCTAATTAAATAATATATATATAAAGAAAATTATAGTCTTCTTTACTCTTATCAATGTTTTATTTTTTTTATTTTTATCCTTTGTTTTATTTCAAAGGCCCTAATCTTATTTTTTGCAATAGTCATTCTACTTTTAATATTATACTATCTTTAAATGACTATTTATTTTTTTCTATTAATACAAGAATATATTGATTATTTTATTATTTATAATTTATATCTTTAAGACTTTGAGAAGAATTTTCATTAACTTTTTTTGTTTTATTTAAGAAGAAAATGGATTGTCTCACTTTTCTTATTATATTTTAAAGGTTGTGGACTATCCATCTTTGAACTAAAAATTTTTGTTTTCTATCATTGGTTCTTTTTATAAAGAGAGTGAACCACTCTTCTTTGTAAATTTTTCATTTGTAATCAGAAGTTATAAATCACCATCTTCTAATTTGACTGATAGATTTATCAAAGTTATTAATTGTAGAAATAAAAAGAAAATTAATAAATACTATATTTAAAAATATAAATAGATTTGTAACTATTATAAATCTTTATAAGCTTGTCAACACTCTTAGGGTGGAAATCTAATATATTATTAATGTTAACTATGTAGGTACTAATTCTACATCTATAGAAGAAGTTAATAATAAAAATCAATATATATATATCAAAAGTTGTAGAACTAAGAAAAGAAAGTAAATCAATTTTACAATTGAATGCAAAAAGTGTTATTAAAATAAGTAAAAAAATACAAGGATTAAGTTTTTGGAAAAATTTGATGGAATAAGATCAAAATTTTTAAAAATTCTACAAGAAGTCAAGCTCTTTTCAAGATTACATTCTTTTCAAAATTTTAATAGATTTACTAAAGTTTGATTTATAAGCTTACTCTTGTCTTGATTTTTTTTTTTTAATATGCACCTTTGATAGAAAAAAATTCACAAATCCTATATGATTATCATTGATAATTTTAAATACAAATTTATTAGATCTATTTATTGCGTAAACCATTGCATACAAGAATCGACTTTTTTAAGTACATTAAGAATAAAGATTTGAATAGAAAAGCACAAGTCAAGTCATGATGATAATTCTTAAGTTTTCATAAACTAATTCATCAAAGACAAAACCTATGTAAATTTATATAATATGTTTTAAACTTCTCATTGAATAAAAAAAATCTAGATATTGTTAAGAATTTTTTTTTCTTATATTATAAAAAACCCATGCATACTACTCAATTTTTTTGAAAAAAGAACGGCAATCACAAAATGAAGAATATGGTTGATAAAAAAAATTAGTATTTTAATAAATATATTTGTTTAACTATAATAGAGTTTGTGCAGCTAAAATCTTATGCAACATGTACTAAAGATCAAATTCTTTCTTTAGATCCTTTATCTTGTTTTAAAATAGATATTTTCTTAGGACCAAAAAATTAAAAAGCCTATATTATATTAGATTTATGAGTCTCAAGTTGTTTTTATAGACAAAGACTTTATTAAAAACCAAGAAGTATTTTTATCAAAAAAAACTAAGCTTGTACATATAGAAGTCATAAATGGTTGTTTATTATCTTTTGGAGATGTTATCTATATAACCATTTCTATAGATGTAATAATTAATTGTTATAATAATTTAATAATATTTAATATAAAAAATCTAACTATGTAGCTTTTTATTTAAGAATTTTCTTAGCAGCTAAACTAAATTATAAGATTTGCAATAAAGAACTTCTTAAAATTACAGATTTATTTTAAGATTCACCTTATTATTTAGAAGGTATCTCTAATTTAGTAACTATTTATATAGATCACAAGAATCTTGAATATTTCATATTAGCACATGATTTAAATTGTTGCAAAACTTGTAAGAGCATATCTTTGTCAAGATTTAAAATCAAGATCACTTATCAACAAAGAAATCAATAAGGTTTCCTAGATGTTTATTTTAGATGTTCTTATCTTATATTAAAAAAAAAACGATCAATAAAAAATTAATCTTTTGAAGCTAAAATAATTTAATTTTGAGTAATGAAATCAATATTAGTTGTTGATTCTACCTTTCTAAATCAAGTCAAATTAAATAGATCCTCAACTCTTTTTCATGATTTCAAGTATACTTCTTTTTAGTCTCATGAGAGTTTTAAGTTTGAGTCAAGAATAATCTTTTCTATTTTAAAAGATGCTTATATGTTTTAATGATGAAACTTGATTATGTGCTCTTCAAACTTCTCATAATTTTTCAATTATTTTGGATATAATTTCTATCAAGGTTTTTGAGAATCTTTTTTAAGATATTGAAAAGTGACATAAAAATATTTTTGGCTTTCAATTCTCAAACTAATGGATACATGAAATGAGTGAATCAAGTTTTCGAACACTATTTGAGTTTTATTATCAATTAATATTAACAAAATTAAACAATTATTATTTTATTGTCAAAGTTTATTTATAATAACATAGTTTATTCTTCTATTTAATAAACTACTTTTTAAGCTAATTATAGTTATAATGCATGACTTTATACTTTTAACCTTATAAAAATTAAATATCTTGTAACAAAAGATTGATAAATTGTTTATCAAGGCTATATTCAACAATAAAAACACAATCAAAGGAAGTTCAAGAACAAAAATAAATCAACGTAGATATCTATTGAATAATCTCAAAGTTTATATTAGCAAAAGATTATGATTATTTTTTCATAATTTTAAGATATTTTTTTTTTGTATCGAGTTATATTAATATAGATTGGGACAAGTTTTTATTTGTAAAAAAATTAATTCAATTGCATATCAATTAAATCTATCCAAATTTATAAAGAACAATCTTATATTCTATGTATTTCTTCTTGAGCTATAAAAATTAGTAGATAGATTGAAAATAAAGATATGTACTACTTCTTCCAATAGAAGTGATAAAAATCAAGGATTTGAATTTATAAAAGTCTTAGATTCAAAGTGATACCATAATAGATTGAAATTTCTTATATATTTGTATGGATATGCCAAAATATATTGAAATATCTTGTACATTTGTAGCACTAAGAAGATAAAGAATCAACAACTAATAGATTTAACTTAAGAACTATTATTTGCTAACTTACTAGATAAAGTATTGAGATTTTTAAAGCCTTCAAGCCAATATAATAAGAATGAAGATTCTCAAAAATGACATATATTTCCTCAAATAGATAGCAAGATATAATATATTTGGTATTGTAACTTTTGAAGAGACTTCCAAAATTTGATAATATTATTAGATGTAGGAACCACTATTAATGGTGTTTCAAATATTTTATTTGAAAAAAGTTATGAAGGCCTCAACAATGACCAAATATGAGATTAGTCTTCATGTTTAGATATAGAATTTTCTTGATGGCCAAGAAAACCTATCAACTACATTCAAAGACAACAATGATTAAAGTATGTGACAAATACAATTTATTGGCTCTTCAACATATGATCACCACTCCTTGTAGAGCTTGTCTCTAAAAAGGATGATAATGTTACAAACATATATAATTTCTTAGATTTAAAAGAGTTAAATAGAAGTAAATAAATTTCATAATATCTCATAGACGACCTTTTTAGAAGTTTTATAGACTCACATTTGATTTTATACTTGTCTATAAATGATTGATAGATTGAAAACTTGGCCAAGTGAGCCATGTGTTGTACATATTGGTGACTTGTGATACAAGTTGGCAACATTGTACACATGTAGGAAACTTGTCTTACAAATTGGACACATGTCTCGCAAGTTAGACACATATTAGAGGTCCTAGAGAATGCTATCATGTAGCTTCTAGTTAGCTAGTATATTGAGGCAAAAGTAAAGCTTTCTTCATTCTTGTCAACATCTTTCTTGTCTTTAGACTTATTTCAAGAGTCTTTAGTCTTCTTATCTTTTGCAATAGTTATTCTAGTTTTAATATTATACTATCTTTGAGTGAATATATATATATATATATATATATATATATATAATAACACAAGAGTGTATTGATTTTTTGCTTGTTTGTGATTCCCAAATATTCAATGATTTCCAGTAACATGCAATCTTAAAACTTGAATTGAATTGAACACTCATAAATATTACTGAAATGTTACCTGACTCAACATGAAAACCAACGAAAAGAAATACAAGCGGGCGTAGAAGGAAACTAAATTTTGTTGTGCTTTTAAAACGTGAAACGATCTCAAAGTAGTGTCATTTTTTCAAATCTTTTCACACTTTTGTTACAATTTATTCTTGTTCGTAACCAAGCAAGAACCGTGCTGTGAGCATCATCAATTCAAGCACCTAATACACACATCATACAACACTTGTAGGTAGGAAGGATAGCAAGGTAACCATCGACCATGTCAACTTAAACTGGAATGGAAGGGAAACAACCTACTTTTGAATATTAAGCAACATATAATATAGATAGAAAAAAGAAGTAGGGCTCGGCCGTGCGGATCTAAGTGAACAACATCCATTCTTTTGTCAAAACCATCGCTTCGAACAAAAGAATTCTTGAAACCTCACCAAGAACCACCACTACTCACACAAAAACTTAAGATCATCTTTTAATCTAATAAGATAGGGGAAGTTGCGAACTCAACAGCATAATTAGTAAGGCTTTGGCAGGTTTTTTTTTTACAAATAGACATCATCGGAACCTCAACGAAGTAACGGAGAATATGTTCACACAAGATGACAATGACCACTCAGCACGCATCTAAGTCCCGACAAGCAGGTGCTCTAGGTTCTGTCAACAACGTCGTGTTGCCACCTGCTGGCCCGCAATTGATCCTTTCTGGGTGTTGTGTGCCCCACTACATCCCAAACAATACAAAAGTCAGCATAACAACCATCGTGCATAAACACCCTAAAACCCTAAACCAACTCATGAAGTGAAACATCAGAATCCTGCTGCTCACTTACCGAAATTGAGGTTAAGCATCGTACACTTCAAGACATAAGGACAGGACTAGGTTCATTCGAGGATAAACTGAGCGGATTTCCCATAAAGTGAAGTTTTCTAAGAAGTAAATAAGATACCTTGGGTTTCTTTCCCTGTCTCAACTCCTCCACCAACTCCACAACTCGTTCGGTAGTTAAATCCTCCTAGAAAACAAACAATGAGGTTTAATGCAGCAGTCAGTATACAAGGCATATCTTAAAAAGCCAAGAGGAACTGCACGAAAATTTCACCAAATAGACAGTCATGATCTCATTCACGCGAGATTGAGAATAAAGCAAAAATTGTAATTCATAGGTATTCTTTGTATTGTACCCAAACGTCACGTGCCCTGACAATAAAGAAAAAGCAGATGAGACCAAAACTCACATAGTAATTGTAAGAGTAGCCTTCAACACCATTGGAGTAGTCAGCAACAACAATCATTGGAGCATTCACACAGGAGCCCTACAATTCAAATAAAACCAGTTAATAAGTGGAGAAGTAATCCACACTTCAAAAAGACAATTCCGAATCAGGCCTACCATACACATACTAAACTGAATGATCACAGGGTTTAAACTAAGCAGGAGCTATCAAAACCTGCAATAAAGAATCCTATACGTGAAGATCACAACACTAATCTTACGGTTCAATCCAAACTTCACTACGCCCCTTTTGACAATGCAAGGCTTCATTCTGAAGATCCTGAAGGGAAGCAAACAAATATACCATGCACTCTACTTCACCCACGGAAAACAAACCGTCCTTTGTAACTTCTGCAAGTGTTTACGTTAGCTGTTAGTTTTTCAAAATTGTCTTATCCAAATGCCCAACTAATTGCAGACTGTCCATTTTCAAGACGAAAGGGCGAATAACCAACGTAACAACACAACCAAGAGAAGAAAGTGCAAGAAGCTTTAAAACAGGCATCACAAGTCAAACGGATGGGATATACATAAAATACACCAGATGAAGTGGGCCAATCATGCAGTCACTACGAAACGAACAGCAAATGGACGCACCATTCCGAGCTACATTCAAATGCTTCAGGAGAGCGTCCTCAATCTCTCGAGATCCTCGCAGCATGCATGGTGTAGTTCCACACACGAGTAAATGATACCTGCCAACCTGTCCACCATGAAGGGCATCAACACACACCCTGCAACAGAGATTTCAATGCCTAGAAAAATATAGGCTGTTTCATGTGGAAGATCCTTGAGAAATCAAGGAATATTTTACTGTCAACCATAATTCATTAAGCATAGCAATTCACAATTAACATTCAAAGCTTCAACGTTCACAACATAATAAACAAAGGCTATATAACGATAATTACTGGTTGACGATTGAACATGGAGTAGAAAGTAGCCACTTCGTACACACGAATTGGTGCATATCCAACTATCTCTGCAATCTTCAGTAGCGATACAAAGTCAACCCAAAGTATAAATTCCAGGACAACATTTAATTTAATGATGTCGGCTGCAGCATAGGAGCACAACATGCTAACTTACGTTTTGCAACCATTGCAAAGATTTGTAAGGCAACTCCTCTCATGAATGTCAAAGTAAAAAAGGATGCACTGTGTGAAACACCCAAATATTTACCCTATTCATGGCCTGTACTGGAAGCCATCCACCTTGCTGCTGTTGAGCTAAATCGAGCAAAGGAATAACTGCAGATTGTTTGTAGTTCTTAGGATAATGGGAGAGCAATTCCTTAACCTGGCCTCGCAAACAGAGTACTCAATAAATTAGGAAACACAACAAACGCTAAGTTGCGACTACGAGAAATCCAACAGATAATTCGTCCCGTTCAGAACATCGGCTCAGAACAACCAACAAAGCAGGCAGACCGGCACAATACGGGGCAGCATCGCAACTAAATATTTCTAAGCGAAGGTACAACAAATTTGAAAATGACCCCAAGAGCTAGGGTGCATTAACCCCATACAACGTAAATTAATAACAAAATGATAAAAATAAAGGTAAGAACCACATTCAAAACTAGTCTCCTCTGCAAAAGCACGAGAATGTAGACATCGGAAACAGCAGCCTTGTTTTCATGTACAGACGTATCCATAAAGATCAATAAAAGAAAACACAGTGTTCGCTAAGGCCATAAACACACCTTTTCCATGTTCGCTGGAGTGAAATCCCATTTCAAATCAGGATTGTTATCTGGCGTATTTACGTGCTGTCACACCCACAATGGGTGCCATTTCAGCACTACAGAAGTGTGGGAAACCTATCTTCGTGCTCCATGTCAATGTTGACAGTGATAGCACTGCTTGGTGAGGAATAGCTGTGGTTGAAACAAAGCAAATTTCGGAGCTAAATGGCAAAACCGAGGAGCAAAATAGCAATTCATTCCAGTTACCTTTCAAGAAGAGATATGTGCCTAGCTGGCGTAGATGTGGATGTATGCATCTTTTGGAAGGAGGTTGTTATCATAAAAAAGGGAATGCGTATTCTATTGTACTTACTCAAGCTTCTTAACTCGCTATGGTATGGTACAGTTATTTTATGAAAACATAAATGCTAGAGCTTAGACTATGATAAATAAATAAGTAAATAAAAGCCCACGTGTACGTAATGCCCATTAAAAACGTACCGCAAATGTCGCAGTAGAGTAGCTCCTACTCAGATCTTCTCGTCTTCGAATCTGTTGCACATTGAACAATGAATAAAAATATATTTGTTAAAGATAACTATAGTGCGACTACTTAAAATTGAGGACCAATTGGCAACTTTCTCAGGCTCTGCCACAATAGACGATGGACCCCTTATCCAAGAAAGCATGCCCATGACGCTTCTTTTACAGGAAACTTTCAAAATGAAATAAAACAATCACTGTGGTGGGGCTGGGAGATTCAAGTAGCAAGAGTCGGAAATGGGAAATCCGGGATGAGAGAGTGTTTCGTATTAAAGCAAAAAATTAAAAGCATCCTGTCGATTCAGATGAACTATATAGATATATATATCGTCCATAACAAGGCAATAGACGCCGACAGTGGGTTTACTTGACAGAGTGCACAAATGACCTGGAACTACGTCCAAGAGCACCAAAATTTCTTAAAGCAATTAATTAAATAAAATTTATTAGAGTGTCAAAGACAACATACTAATGAACTACTCGGACACAATTTCATTTCCCCGGCAAACACCGAAAAGTCAGATTTTTTAGAGGCTGACTGCGCTCCCAGATCCTGCCTGACGATAGAAAGACCCCGCATAATTTCGAAGCAAAACATATCTCTGTGAAAATTTAGCAACCTTCAACATTCCGAAACCTGTAACATTCCACAAAGGAGACACTTGAAAAGACGTAAATTCACGACACAGAGTCCGAGGATCCTCAGCAAAACCAATGAACTTCCAGTCGATCCCAGACACTTCGATCAGGAAACAATTAGCAAACTCAGGTCATTCCTTCACAACCAACAATGCAAAAAAATAACCATCAGATACCATAAAAATGAATCAGAAAACCATGCAAAATAAGAATGATCTTGGAGGAATAAAAAAACACACCATAATCCATAAACACCAATTCATGAGACTACAAAATTCTCAAAAACTCGGAAACCTCCAATTTCTCACGCATGCAGCAGACCGCATTCCAACAGAAACCACGTGCAACCACCCGACGAAGATCCGCACACAGTTCAAGAGACCAAATGAAAATCTGCAGCATTAAACCCCTAAGAATAATCAACCCACCCACGAATTCTTACTCCGATAATACCTGAGTGGAGACGCGAGCCAGGGAGTGCGGGGCTGGCGCTCTTCTGCTGTGCCACCCCTGCACTGTAGCAGTAGTAGTAGTAGTAGTAGTAGTAGTACGCAGCATCCACAGAGCCCGAGTGGCAACCCTCCATGGCCTCATTTTTCCTCTCCCTCCCTCGCGAGAGCAGTGGGTAGAACTGCAACGAAGCTCTGAAAACACAACACACACACTAACATACAAAAACGAAAGAAAGAAGGAAATAATATAGAAAGTGAACGGAGCTGAGGTCAGATTCGTAGATAATGAGGGTGAAATGCGAAGATCTGGCTGATACAAAGACCATCTATGCCTCGGGAAGATGAGGAGGAGGTGAGGCTATTGTCTTGAGTTATTACCATTCAATGCTCTTCATGGTCTTAACTTTTACAAAACCCATAATGTTGTCGTTGTTTTTTATTTTATTATTATTATTATTATTATTATTATGTTTGTGCCTTGTATTTTTCTTGAACAGATATGTTTGCACTTATGGGTTGTCCGTATTTTACTGTAGAACAAAATATGTGTTTGCAATTAGGTTTTTTTTTTAAAAATAAAATTAAAATTAAAAATGGCTTAGGATTTGCAATCAAAACGTTTGGTAGCTTTAAAAAAGAAAAAAAGAGTTGTATATAAAAGAGAATTAATTGATACGTTTATTACATGGTTATTGCTTTACATTGATGTTTTTTATTATTTTTATCAATGCATGTGTGAAACAAATAATGAAAAAGTAAAACTGAAATATAAGTTCTTGAAATTAATATTTAATAATATCACTATTTTATTTGTGGAATTGTTGTAAAACATGATCATGAAATTAACAAGTATGATTTTCTATAAGTAGACATTTATTTGTAGATGTAAGTTAGATTGGAAAATCAGGGTTGCTCTCAAATTTCAAAGGCATTGTGTTGTTAATTGTCATTCTTATCACAATGCATTTGTTTTCTACTTTATGTTACTATTTGATTAGAAGCACTAGATTATGATGTTCTCATTAAGCTTGTTATAATTTAGGATTACCTTATTAAGTTTCAAATTAACAATCACTCAAACTCTACAATTTTTAGTGAGAATATGATAAAAGCTACAAATATATCAGTATGAAGTTTTAGGATTTGAAGTACACATGAGATATATGGATTATTGTTTGTTACTTTGAAAATTGTGTTTGTCTAACTTTCAAACTAAAGAATAATGACATGAAATTTGTTAAAAGGTATTATAAAGTAATATATATATATATATATATATATATATATATATATTTTAAGTATAACTTAACTTATGGTATTATATATAGAGAGATATATATCTTATTAAATTAAAAAAAATAATATCTAATTGCACTATAGAAAATATCATTTTTTAATTTTTTCAAATTATTGGTTTGAAACGTTTTTAAAATTTTAAGATGAATAATTATGCTAGCACAATTATACAACTACTGAATTATCAAAAGTTGTGTAACATGGTCTATAACATTCAAACATTATATGAAAACATCATGTCTTTAACATTCTACACCTAAAAAGTATATTTAAAATCTTTTAGTTAGTTGCTATAATATTATCAATAAAATAAAAATAAAAATATTTTATATTTATCTAAAAATGATAAATTTAAACTTAGAAATTTTCATTTTCATTTCATTGTCCTCAATGGTTATGAATTTGTTGGTAGCTATATCAAGAAATTCTACAACAAAATTTCTTGTTAATTTCATTTGAATGCAATTCATAAAATATAATAGTCACAGTGATTCTTCAACAATGCAGTATTTTAATTGTATAAGTGATTTGACAATACTTAAAAAATTCAAATGTTTTTAATCATTACAAAACAATATACTAAGGCGTGTCTATATATTTTCATGGGTAACATTAATAAATTCAATTATAAGCCAAGATGATTCTTGAAAATAAAACTTCAAACCGTCCCAAATCATATCATAATTTATCTGGAATCAATTTATTTTTGAAATATTCATAATACAAAACAATTGACTGAACTGTACACATTTTTTCCATAATCAATATTTTCTAGTGTCGTCTTTGTGTACTCGTGTGTGAAATAGCTAATAATTTTAGAATAATGAACACCTTCAGGTTAATTGCATTATAATTTTCTACAATCCCTCATACAATTAGCAACTTTACGATTTAAACCTCAAAGCAATACTCAAAGAAAAATTACTAAAGATAGGCTTGACCAATGTTGATATACAAAAAAAAAACCAATTTTTTATTTTTTTATTTTTTTATTTCAAAAATAGTCCTTGTGATGGGATTGCAAAATCTAATACAAGAGTGCAGCTGCTAAGTGGTCCGAGTTGCACCTATCATTGGCTGGACTACATGTTCTCAGAGTAGTTTTGGTTGTAGTTGTTTACTCTTGATTGACAACAAGCAGGCTGCATTGCAAAACATGACTCAAACATAATCTGCAAATTACACTCTTGATTGAACAAATCTACAAACTTATTGTTGCCAAGAATCAAAAGACTTTTGCCAAAGTGATCACCTCCACGGACTACTTTAGAAGTTAAAATTTTGATGAGCCTATTTTCGACATATTAGCGTTTGTCAAGCCTATTTTCAATATTTTCCCATGCACAAATCTCCAAACAAAATTAAAAAACCAAAACAACAAATATAGCGTTAAGGCGATGCAGTCTTGAATGCTTGCATAGGGTTGTTCGACGTTTTCTTAAGAGCCACAGCCACAGGCTCACACATACTCTCTGTTCCTTTCGGTTCAATACACATTTCAGTGCCTGGCATTCCTGTCTAAGCTGGGAAAGGTAAGGATCAGTGTAGCCGTGAATTGAGTGACAACCCACGTCCCTTTCTGCTCAGCTTCAGGCACTTTGGGATGTCATTATTGATGGTAGTCGAGGAAAACCGGGTATAAACTAGGCGAACAGTTTTAGGAAAATAAAATAGGCCTACGGCTTAGATACCCAAAGTCTGGCATAAAAGCACACCATGACGCAGAGAGCGCCATTGACGTTACTGAGCTATCCAAGCGAAATCTTCTGACGAATTTACTGCCGGAGCATTCACAAACGTTGAGCTGGAATACTACAATCAACAGTCACGATGAGCGGATACGATTCCAAAGAGCATCCATGTTTGTAACAATTTAAGCTTTACTTTGGCGATGCCACAGATGAATGGTACGGGACTACTGAGCTACGCACTAGATCCTAAAAGTGAAATCCGCCTCCAGGAAACCCTCCCTCGAACTGGAAAGAGAATGTTTGGCCTCCACCATTAAACGGGTTGTATCCATGGCCTCCACCCATTTGCTGCTCTTCCATGTCCTCGCCCCTATCATACCGTTCCCTCTTCTCTTCATTTCCAAGTACCTGTGATAATCGAATACATTAACAGGTTTAAGCATTGGAATAATATAGCAAGTCTTCAGAAAAATGTAAAAACCCAAAAGGTGTAGATACAAGTACTCAAAGATTTTGAAGAATGTGGCGTCCTAGTGCTACGAGTTATCACATGCTGCTCCGTTTGCAAAATGGCTTGATAATTCACCTCGTAAGCCTCCGCAACCTCACGGAACTTGTTTTCCGCTTCCTCCTTGTTATCCTGATTTTTATCCGGATGCCACTGAAGTGCAAGCTTCTTGTAAGCACGTTTGATCTCTGCAGCTGATGCTGTGTTCGTCAAACCGAGAATCTTATACCAATCCTTCCGTTTGCTCAACTTCAAGGCATGCTCAGCTCTGTGAAGTCCTTCTCTAAGGTCGTGGTCCTGCCAAATAACACTCTTATCATTAGAAATAACCGAAATAATCGCTGATTTTCAGACAGGACTTGAACAGGAAAGAGTTCCACGACTGTTCTACGGAAGCAGATTGGCGTGATTGACCTCGAAAGATGCCCAAAGACTGCAATTTCCGATACTTGTTACTACAGCGATAAAATCATCTAAAAATCAAAATTCAAAAACGTTCACGAATCTAATCAGAAAGGGTTCCAAGTACGATTCCAAGTACTAACCTGTGGATTTTGCTCAATTGCGGCCTTAAAATCAGCCACAGCTCCTTCCCAGTCTTCCACAAGTAATCTAGCCTCCGCCCTCTAAAAACACAAAACTAGATTGTCAGATGCATCCACACCAAATCTGCCGTTGATTTTTTCTACTCCGACCTTCGACTGCTCTTCAATATTATGCTTTATTATATTGCTTAGAACATTGTATGAGTGAATGATTATTGATAAGAAAGATATAGATACGACAATACTTTGTGGAACGTATCTATAATGAGAAGCATCACGCACCTGCTGCAATGCCTCAACCGAAGCACTATCCATTCCCACAACGAGAGAGCAACGCGTAACAGCATCCTTCCCACGTCCAAGCTTAACCAGTGCTTTGCAGAGGCCCATATTCAGCTTGATGTTGTGAAGATCATGGTCTGGTACAACCTCCAGGGCAGCATAGTAGGCTTCAACAGCGGTGCGAAGCTTATTCTTTTCCAATGCTTCTTCAGCCTGCAGATTTCCACAACTTAGTAATCAAGCAAAAGTCTCCGGAACGACCTATTGAATACACTTAAAATTCATGAGCGATACCAAACTGCACTGGCAGTTCACAGAGCACAAATTTTCCTGAACATGCCAAGATAATACACTTCCAAAGCCTGGAAGTATAAGGAGCATAGATTAAGTTAATATAATTCTGCAATGCAAGGAATCGAGACATACAGCCTTCGTCTTTCTCAGCAAAAGTTTCAACTTAAAATACTGCTTCTTCAATTCTCCATGTTCGGGGTCCAAACGGAGACCTGACTGATAATGCCTGCACAAGGATTTACGTCATTGAAAGCAAAAGAGCCTGTAAAAGCAAAGTATTCACAGAACAACTGAGATAGAAAACCCACTTACATGTAACGTTCAAAAACATCACAAAAGAAATGTATAAGTACCTGAGGGCAACATCATGGTCAGCAAGATAGAAGTATGCATTTCCACGAACCAGTAAAGCATCCAAGTCACCATCATCCAACTTCAGCACACGCCCTGCCTCCGCAACCGCATCACTGAAATCTTTCTTCTTCAAAGCTAATTTAGCTCTCAACAACCGCGCCTGCACGGGTCAATCCATACATCATACATTAATAAGATCAATAATCGTCCACATCCATCCAAGTCGATGTATAAATTGCTTTCTGTCCAGGAAAAACCCGGTTGCTCCTAAAAAGAAGCCTCAAACTTAGCAGTTCATGAGGTGCATGGCTATCGGAAATATTGTTGTAGTTACTCTGGTTCTAGTCTTTAGACATACACATAGCTGGTGCAGCCAAGAATGTTATGTGCAGAAATATTATTTAAAATAATCGCAAACCCAAACATTTCTTGTCGAATATGAAGCTAAAATTATCATCACTTAGAGCCCAACAAAAACCAATCCTGAAACCCATTCAACATATTGATATAATTCAAATGCAAATCTTCTCGAAGCTTCACCGCTTGATAAAGTCTTGGCTATTTACGAGAACAAAACATCCACTTACAGCATTCAATTTACCTGAGCGCACTCTGAAGATATGTCCAGAACGTTCTCCAGAGCCTCCGCAGCCTGGTCGAAATCCTCAGCATCAAATAATGCAGTGGCCTTTTCTAGCAAAGCTGCTGCATGAACTGACTGCTTCAGGTCCTTCGTCCCATGTGAGTGCCCAGGTTTCAGCTCCAATACCTTGTCAAAGTCTTTCTCGGCTTCCTTGAAACTGCAGCCACCAAGGTGTAGCGCATTGGGAATTAGAACAGACGATATTTGCAGTCCCTTATCAACAGAAGTAAGCAACATGAAAGATGAGACGCGAATGGTCAAATGGTTGAAGTCATGACGCATCAATTTCTTACCGACACATTTGTCGCAAAAGTCGTCCTCTATTCAAGTAACCTTGAAAGAACGTTGAATCCACTGATAGCGCCCTGTCTAAATCTACCAAAGCTTCACGGTACTTCCGTTGTTGAAGGTAAACAGCTGATCTTTTTGTAAAACCTAATGGTGCTGCTGGATCCAGTTCTGCAAATCCATGATGGAACCACTTAGTGCTTCGAATGGGGTTTATGAAATTTTGCATTGATTATTCGCATGAAAAACAGAAACGAAATGAAAGACTTTAGTTTCCAACAGCTTTACGAAAGCTCAAATTGCTGTACTCTCATTAATCTCTTAGTAGCAAAGTTTCTACTCACCAATAAATTTGCTATATTGCTTTATCGCAATGGTATAGTCTCCTGAAGATAAAGCGGCATCTCCACTTTGCAAATAAGAAGCTGCCAAGCCACAATAACTCAAAATCAGGCTTCAAAGCGATAACCTGGAATTGAAGCTTCCAGAACTAAAACCCTAGGCTGTCATTACAATTTCTTCAGCGGATTCAAGTCTGTGAAAATGAACAGAGGTAACCTCACCAGCTAAAGCTAGTACACTCCGAACTCAAAATACGTAAGAATTAAGCACTATGAAAGAGATCAAACTGAGCTCGGTAAAGATTCAGAATCTGAGATAATATGCAAAACCAGGATATCCAAGAATTTTGCAAAGAAACCCCTAAATCCATATCCCAGGACTTCAAAGTGAAAACGAGGTGCAACAGCTATGCGTCTAGACATGCAGAACACTTCCTTCAAATTTCTCAGACCTACACACCTTCTTACCAAGTCCCAGAATTGAGTTCCAAAGATAAACCAGACGCTAAAAAAAACTACTAGCAGAAACGCAACGCCATGAAGCACTAAAAAGGACGGAGCATACCAGCATCAGAGGCGAAAGCGTGGAAAGCCTGGCACAGAAACAAAACAGCCAGAGCAATGCCGCGGAAGTAACTCGTCCCCTGTCTCCAGCAAACCGAACCATCAAACAACCTCCACTGAAGCTCCCCTCCCAGATGCCCCGTCCCTCCTCCACTCTTCCCCATCCGCATCTTCCCCAATCGTCTCAATTCGCGACAAAGGCACACACTCTCAAACCCTCCCTCACACCCCTCGATCGGACCCCTCAACCAACCATCCCCCCTCTCACGCCCTCCTCTCCACACCCACTCTCGGCGCTCCAATGACCTAAATTTTGAACACTCTCGTTTCGAGCAGCTTAAATTCAAAATCGCGGTAAGAGCATCAGCAGCAGCAGCAATACTAAGATTGATCACGAATGTACACAAGAGCTCGCTCGCTGCCTTGCACGAGAGAGAGTGATACTTTGCTTGCTCAATGCCGCGCCACAAAATAGAGCATGGCAGCAAATCAGTGAGAATGATCAGCTCGCTGCAAGACAGAACGGCGATCCAAATTGAAGCAAGTGGACGGAAGGGAAGGGAAGGGAAGGAGGATGGTGGTGGAAGTGAAGGGTGGGGGGGTCAGAGGCCGGGTTCGATCCTGCGCCGATTATCTAAGTAGGGAGAGGTGGCTATGACAGGAGGGCGAAGCTCCGAACCAATAATCACCCGAAGGCATGAAACGTGGAAGATGTTTAATGGTTGTGGAGTATGGCTGAGATGACTAGGATCGAGGTTACCGTACCTGAGAGCCTCAGGCTCGGGAATTCTGGTTCGGTCTTCGAAATGGGGCACGTGACAGTTCCTGCTCGCAATCGTCACAATATTCCATTTGATATCTCATTTATTTTTATTTTCTATGGCAACTAGTTTTTATTTATTTATGACATTCTTGATAAATCAACGCATTCATTATAAAACATGTTCATTATTTTATTTTATTTTCTCGATGATGTATTCAAGTACTTATGTGTACTATGGATTAATTTGCACTTGAGTTGAATGGTTGTGATGGTTCTGTTTCGAAAAGTTTAAATAAAAGTAATAAATTTTATAATAAACGTGATAATATATATTGAAATAAAAAATTAAACTGTACGTTATTTTTATTACAATAAATACAATTTTAAGATTTATCACAAGAAAGAATTTAAGAGCATAGTTTATGTTAAGTTTGAAAATACATATATTTTAATATATCAACATTAGTATTCTAACTAACCAAGAATATTCATATGTAATTAAGAATGAATGAGTGATCTTATCAAAAATATGAATACTATTCTATTTCAGTTCTACTGATAATCATATTTCGAATTTTTGTATGAGTTTTAGTATCACCTCTCCAATTTTAGAAATAAAAACTTACATACAAAAAAAATAATCTAAATTTAAAGTATTTAAAATGGATAAATATGAGTTAGAATTTATATTTTAGAAATGATACTACTTGGATAAGTTGGCATTTTGATTGCATTTTTAAAATAAATTTTTGTTAAAAATTAAAGCCTTGCCAATAAATGTCATTTAAAATGTCGTATCTATTATGTGCAAAAGATTTATTGATTAATATATAGACAAATATACATATATAACACCATTATATCTTTGAATATTTTAATTGATTATATTGCATAAAAAATATCATTGATAAATTTTCTTATTAATATTTATTATAAAAGAATTTAAATAAAAAGTTATTTTGAAATAATATATTTTTTTCTTTTATTTAATATATATATATATATATATATATATTGATAAAATAAGCTTTATATTAAATTTTTAGATCTATAAAAATATATAAGAATTAAAATTTTATTAATATAATGCTTTTATTTATTCAATAAGTTAATTCAATATTTGTAACTATTTTTAAAAATATTTTTATAGAATATAGTATAATATAACCACTTATAAATTCTTACAATATTTTGTAAGAAACAAAAATGTTTTAGATATTAGGTTTTATAGAATAAAACAGCACACTCTATCATTTTATTTTTTATACAAACATCAATACATTAATACAAATCTTTATATATATATATATATATATATATATATATTTGTAAATTTGCAGAAATCTATGTTGCAATCTCTAGCATATCCATCCATAATCTTGTTCACCTACACTTCTTTGTTAGCATGTTCCTTCTTTCCCATATTCATGTATTCACTGATTCTCATATTTTTTGGTTATTATGTTCCTTGATTCCTTAGTTCCCTTGTTTATATGTTTACATATTCTCATATTCTATGATTCATATGTTCCCTTTTTCTCGTGTTTCCTTGTTCCTATGAAAATAATAAAGTTACATTGTATATAAAATTATATAAAATATCTAAAAATATTACTACTTGAAGATGCATAAAAAAATAAAAAGAATGAAACTTTAAGTTAGATTTTTTTGTTTTATAACATGTACTTATGTATATATACATATGTTAAAATAATTATGTGTGTGTAGAAATTTCTAATCTTTTAAAAACTAAAAATAATATAGATTATGTTTTTTTAATAATAAAAGTTATGTAGCTAAGCATTTGTATTAAAAAACTATTAATCATTAAATATAAAAAAATAAACACAATATTTAATAAAGGTGAAATAAATCAGAATAGAATCAAAATCCTTAATTTAAAAAATACATATTTATGAAATAGTTGATAAATTAATTTATTAAAAATCATTACATGACATATTCTAAATTATCTAAAAATTTAAATTATACTTTAAGATTATAAAATTATATATATATATATATATATATATATATATTAAAAATACCACCACAAACTTTAAAAGTAAAATACTTATTTTAGTTAGTAATAAAAACAACATATATCATTAATTTTTTTTATTAGAGTTGAAGAAATAGTATGTAATTTGTAAATGAATTAAGCCATTGTGACATTTTAATGTAAGGTGTGCAAGAGTAATATCATTATTTGAATTCAATTAAGAAAAAAAAAAAAAAAAAGTTTCGATATAAAACAAAGTTATATGTTAAATAAAATTATATTATTTTTTATTTTTTAAATAGTATAACACTTTAAAAATATAAGATTATATAAAATTATATGCTATGTGGAAAGTTGTTTTAGAGCTTAATCATGTTAAAAAATACTTACAAATCAAATTCATGTCAAAGTTGGAAAAGGTATTTTTATATGTAATAAAAATATTTACAAGTTTTAACTACTAATTAGAATTATAATATTATTTAAGTTTTTTTAAAAAATATTTTATTTTTTTAATATTATTTATAAAACATAAAAATTAAATACCAACATGGTCTATGTTAACTAACTTAGTTAACTAAGAGTAGTTTGAAAGAATTCATTTGACACCACAATCAAAATCAATATAGTTATAACAATAGAAGATATATTAAAAATATATGGTCCATACAAGAATCCAATCAATAAGGTCTAGAGTGTAGAAAATAAGTCAAGGATATGCAATTTAATTAAAAACTAGACATTCTAAAGTCAAAGTTAAAACAAATTAGATCAAGAAAATATGTAGTTACTAACAAAAAGACAATTAATTGCCAGCAATTAATCTAAGTAGTATCAGTTATCACAAAAGTTGTTGTTTACAAGGATATAGATAAAAAAAAATAAAAAAAAATAAAAAAATGTTAGTTAGTATCATTTATCAAGTACTAAGTTAAAGCCAAAAGTATTATTACTATCATTATGAATACAAAAATTATTTTTGAAGTGATTGTGAATATAAACTACTTTCTAATTTACTACTTACTTTTTGTATTGTTTTGATTTAATCTTCATATTTGCAACCTCTATTAAAGCTAAGTTATACATAGTCCAATTCAAACTAATATTTGGTACAAAATTCCTCTTAACATGAACTTTGACTATAATTTATTAATTTTAATAGAAGTAAGATTATTTGTAGATTGATACTTGCAAATTAATATCCAACAAAAGAGGTTATTATCTAGTCTTGTTTAAAGTAACCAATGATCCCTCTCCCAAGTGAAGTGTCACGGACACAGAAATACAGGTTCGAGATCTAACAAGAAGTTCAAAAAGAACTGGCAAGAACTAGATTAATAAGATGAATACAAAAACAACACCAGAGAGGTGAGCTAGAGCTCCAAAAGATGTGTTGTCGAGATTGAAAAACTCTTCAGCCTCGATTCCAATATATACTCCTATTTAGGAAACTTCTCAAGCAACTTCTACCAACTAAGAAGCTTCTAGAAGGTTCTAGAGACTTGCTTCTAGAAGGTTCTAGAAAATTGTCTCTAGAAGGTTCTAAGGACTATGTCCCTAACATCACCCCCTCTTTTAGCTTCGAGGTCTCTGAGAAGCAATGCTATTGTTAATTAGTACCAACGCAAGAAAATGAAGATCTGTCGCATAACGTCTGGTATGAACTCCAATTGTTGTTCACAAGGCAAGTGGTTCATCGGCCCTTGAAGCTAATGGTAGTGGCCCACGCCTTCGACTTTTGACCAAGCATGAACTTTCATGTCCTCATTGTAAAATTGTCCTGCAAACACGCCTTCTGGCTGACCATCGTAAACAGGCTTGATCTCCAATACAATCACCAGTGATCGGTTACTCTGTATCCTCCGTCGTCATCATGGTGTAGGCGGTTCTTCATCTCTGGGTCGCCTTTGTGAGCTAGTTGATTGAGATAATCTGACTGGCATAGTATCTATCTCTTGGCTATTCATATCAGAAGACCAAACTATGGCTATTGAAAAAATTCTACTTTATCTTGGAGAAAATAACTACATCAACTACGAATTTTGGCGGTACTCTCCCCCTTTCTTATATTCTTGGGTGAGCAAGCTTCAGAAGGAAGCTATCGTCAAATCGACTTAGGTTTATGAGGATGTTGTTGATGAAACTCTTGTACCTTTTGTGACACATTGGCGAGATTTTCAGCTGGCTTCCACGTTTGCTCATTAATGTCATAGCCGCACCAATGAACAAGATACTCCAACTTGTCCCACCTTCGCCATGAATCCAACACCTTTTCAACCTCATATTCCTTGTGGTTCTTGATCTCAATACTAGATGACGGATATTGCAATCTTCCAAGAAAAGGTGACTCTCGATAAGGCTCCAACAAAGAAACATGAAAGACTGGATGTACCTTCATAGAAGCCGGTAATTCTAGACGGTACGCCATTGGATTGATTTGCTTCTGGATGATAAATGGTCTCAATCTTCGATAGTCCAACTTATCACATGGTCGCTTGGTCTTGATATTCCGTCGAAGAAGCCATGCTTTATCTCCAATTTTGAAAGTAGGTGCTTGATTCTAAAATCTATCTGCAAACGTCTTGTAGGATTCTTGAGCGGATTGTAATTGAAGCTTCAACATAGTTTGAAGCTCTGATACTTGCTTCGCAAATCCTTCAGCTGCTGGATTGTTATTTCTTGACAGACTCAATAAATCAAGCTTCGGATGATACTCATAGTTAGAAAAGAATGGTGTATATTGAGTCGATGCATGGAGGGTGTTGTTATATGCAAACTTGGCTAGTGACAGATATGAGTTCCTCGATCTCATACAATATCTTCTGGTAGTCCATGATATCA